TCGTCGAGGTTGGTCGAGGGAGGGAAAGGAATCGGGAAAAGTTTCGGACAAAGATCCCCGATAATGATTCCGAAAATTTTTTCCCCGTGAACGTGGAAAAAATTTAAAACTGTTCCAAAGTTGGTGAAACGGTCGATCCGTCGGAATCGAGGCGAGGAGAAACGCTAAATTTCCAACGGTTTTAACGAAAATTCGATATATTCGAAATTCGTGATCGCGTATTAAAAACTTCTCCTCTCGCGAAAGAATTCGAGCGGTTTTTTTGTCGGCGCTGCGCTCATCCCTCCGTCCTTCCCGACCCCGAAAATTCGAAAAATTGTTTCATTAGAGGCGGAAAAGGATTTTGCAAAGAAAATGATAATACTTTTTACGCAATTTCACGTCGTAACTTGATTCATTCCGGGTTAATTACTCGCAATCGGGACAGAGATTACGATCGAATGCATATTTATCCGAAAGAATGGCTCCGAAGGATTGTATCCTTAAACTTGTTTTAAGTATAAAACGCAATTGAATTAATCATCGTTATTAAATATAAAGCGTGTAATTACGATGATTACGATCGATTTATGATCGATCGAGTAGAGAACGTGTCAATCATTGGACAGACGGGTGTAACGTATATCGTTATTATTCCCATCTTTTTTATCACGTGGCTGAACAATGGGTTTCTGCAATAATAATTATTACGATCAATTTGTAATGAGACAAGTAGTGCATGTCAGTCATTGATCAAACGAGTATATACACACACGCACATACACGTTATTATTTCCTTCTCTTTATTACATGCACCACATTGGTGTTTCTATAATAATAATTATGGTCACGATCAATTTACGATCAAACAAGTGTCGACACGTGTCATTCATTAATCAGACGAATGGAACAGAACAGGATGGACAAGTATTATTATTTTCCTCACTTTTCGTTACTTAATAAATTACGAAATTATTAGGAAACGATTAAAATTAAAAAAAAAAAAAAAGTTCCTATCGATTCGAATAATTTTTCTCAAAACACGACCCCCTTAAACGGCTCTTCTCTCTCTCTCTCTCTGTCTCTCTCTCGTCCTTATGTTCTTGCCAATTTTCCAACTCTCCGTCGTTCCTCCCCTTTCACAAGTTTTAATCCGAAACTCCATCTGGAAACTGCGCACAACACGGTGCCTCTTGTGAAACCGAATGCACGTTTCGAAAGATACAAAGGAGAGGGGGAGGAAAAGCGCGGAGCAGTGTCTGTTTCTCAAGCTTATCGCCTGACTTTCGCGAGGCGGCCACAAAGGTGC